TAATGTAGCAGGCACTGGTCAAAGAACCTCACAATAAACCCATTATCCCAATTTTACAGATTGGGAACGTGAAACACAAAGACATTTCGTAATTAGTCTGAAGAATGCCAGCCAGCTGTGGTAGAGCTCCTACTTGGTCTCAGGCAGGACTCATTCTTTTAGGCTTTACGATCCCCACAGATGAGAAGGTTTCATTGCAAAGACTTATGATGGCCACTCGGAAGGAACATACTCAGTGGCTGGTCAATTATATTTGTACTAAGTGAGAAGATTATGCACAATTCTGGAATAATTTCCCTTTTTCTTCCCAATGTATTTTATGATTTTTTCCTCTTAGCAAATTTACGCTACTACTTATATTTTGCTTAGTTAACTTGGTATTTCATTTGCATTCCCTGAGTGCACAGGGGCTGATGGGGGAGCGGTGCTGGGTGACAAAGGCAAGCCAAATGGGATTAAACTCTGCTGAATCACCAGGTGGATAATCCACCATGAATGCTTGAGAGTGGAGTGTTGGGATCACGCCCCTTCCCGGGGCCTTTCTTTGGGAAATAAAATCAGTGATAAACATGATGCTCGAACAGTCCATCAACTATGGCACCTGCTGTACCCATTTCGTGCAGGGAGATAATGCAGAGATGAGGTGTGGGTCAGCACCAGAGGCAGGAAGTGGGTGAGGCTTCCACGCCACTGTCCAGAGTCTCTTAGGAGAAAATCTGGACCCCCCTGTGTCAATGACTATATTAGTTTGCTAAGACTGCCCTAACAAGGTACTGCAAACTGGGTAGCTTATATAACAGAAATTTATTGTCTCACAGTTCTGGAGGCCAGAAGTCTGAGATCAAGGTGCTGGCAGGGTTGGTTCCTTCCAAGGGCTCTGAGGGAGAATCTGTTCCTGGCCTCTTCCTCAGCTTCTGAAGGTTTGCTGGCAACCTTTGGCATTCCTTGGCTTATAGTAGCATCACTCCAATCTCTGTCTTTATCTTCACATGGCATTCTCTCTGTGTGCATGCTTTTGTGTCCAAATTTCTTTTTTTTTTATAAGGATAACAGTCCACCCTACTACGTTATGATCGCATCTTACCTAATTATATCTGCAACAACCTTATTTCCAAATTAGGTCATATTCTGAGGACCTGGGGGTCAGAACTTCAACATATGAATTTTGGGAGGGCACAATTCAACCTGTACCAGTAATTTCGTCCCTCTCTCCCTTTTGACACAGTGATGATCGTATGTAGGAATATTTCCAAGTGTCTACTGTGTGGGGTTGCAGGCACTTCTAGTACTGTTTTGCACTGTAGTTGAGAGACAGCAGTCTGGGGCTGGGAAGCAATTTGGGACCATGACCTAGAGAGCAAAGCTAGCAGGCTTTCACAGGAATTTGAACTCAGAATTTCATCCCCATGATATTTAATCCAGTGCATTCAATGGCTCAGATGACCTTGTCCTTACCAGCCTGGTGCTGTACGCATCTGACCTAACAGTGTGTGATATGTGTATGCATATGTGTGTGTTGTGGGCATATATAAGTGTGTACACATAATGTTGGAGATAGAAATAGCTCTGAGAACTATCCCTTTGTTACCCGCCAGATAAAATTATTCTCAGCTTGATTATGTGCAGTGTTTCTTAATTTGCATTTCCTAATATTTTCATACATTTCTCCCCAAGTGCAAATGCAAAGATCTTCAACCTCAGTGTCAACGTGATCATCTTACCATGATTTCTAGGAAACAATGTGTGTTACTAGTTCATCCCCTCCTTCCATCTGGACTGTACTTCTCCTTTCTCTGCATGACAACTCCTCTTTGTCTTTTGAAAGCAAATGTCACGTATTCATGTCTTCCCTAACTTTTTTAGGTTGAGTTTCATTAGCGCCTTTCCAGAGTTTTTACACCTATGTTATAACCCCACATGCTATACTTTGGTGGTCTGTTTACCTCCCTCTTAAGACTGTCTACATAATTTGTGGGCCTTGTGCAAAATGAAAATGTGGGGCGCCTTGTCAAAGAAATTATGAAGAATGTCACAATGGAGACAGCAGAACAATAAACTAAGTGTGGGGCCCTCGTAAGAGCATGTCCCATGAAGTTGGCCTTGTCTGTCTTCCTGGTTCATGGACTGTGAGCACCTCAGTTCCCCAGTGTCCACCACACCACAAGTGTTGGATGAGTAAACGAATCAATAAATGAATAACTACAAGAATAAGCTTTTGATGAACGGCAGCCATTTTGTAAGGGAGATACTGCTGCTTTTAATTGACTCCAGAAACCCTCACAGAATCACTGAGGTGAGAGGGAAAAACATGGCTACATGCAATTATTTGTAATAACAAATAATCATACTTCGTATGCATGTAAGAGTTTTCATCTTCAAAACACTTACAAAACATTAATTAATCCTTACAACAGCATCAATGAAATTGAAACTGGAGGGAGAATTTGAGGTATGAAAAATTTAATTACCAATATTAAAATTTGGCACACAACTAACACTCCTCCTGCTGGGGTAGAAAACACATTCCATGGCATCTCCTCTTTCTCTAGGAAAAAAAAAAAATGAACATGGCAACTTAGTTCTATCGTACCCATCAGGAAGGAGGCAAAGCTGTCCGCTGAGAACCCCCAAGGGGTGGTAGAGGTATTTATACATCTGAGGGAGGGTTGCATTTATTCACTTCTGAGTCGCCTCAAGATTCTGGGACCTAGGATTCTGAGAGCCAAGTCAAGTGTGGTCGTGAATTCTGTGAGGTCATGAGGTAAAGCTCAGCTAGCTATCCTGAACCTAAAAGAAAAAGAATGGTGGCGATTGCTTGGAATTTTGAGCTACATTCAAATACTCTGGTAGGGACTTTATCTATATCATCTGGGATGAGAAAGAAAGTTTGGCCTGGCACAAAGAGAGCTACTGGGCCCAAAGTGACTGGGCAACATGAGCTGCTTCTGGAACCCTGAGCCTTCTGAACTTTTGGATCCTTTTGGCTGGAGGGATGGGGGTCAGGTACTGGTGCACTGTAGCAGGGGGAGGAGTTGCCTGTCCACTTTGGAGCAGAAAGAGCCCTTGGTCACCTGGTTTCTGTAGCCCACACACCATGATGCCTGATGGTGGGGACTGTCCTAGTGCTCTCAGCCAAGGACTCCTGCCTCTTAAAGGGAGGGAGAGCAGAACTCCCCATTTCTTACGTGTGGGCTCTGCATAGCGACTTCCCTCCAAACAGGACAGTACGAAAAGGGGGGAAGTAAGAGGATAACTTTACAGAGGAGAAATATGACAAATACTACTTCAGCCAGGTGATCAGGTGAACATCAAAGTGCAAATGCTTGTTGTTGTTTTCTTCTTCAGGCCTAGATTTCTTCTCTGAAATACTTTGACCTCTTCAGAAGGTACATAATCTCACTGACATTAAAGATTGGTTTGAAAAACTGCTATGGACAGGGCAATTAGTCATCTACCTGGCGAGTTTCTGTTTTCTTGTTCCTCGTGCATGGCCATGACCATGCACAACCTGACCCACCACCATTCCCCACCCCTGCTCATTGGCCATTGCTTCCTGGGTCAGATCCTCCCTTGCTGACCCCACTTGTTTTGGCTCCTGACATTTTCCGTGGTTTCCTTGCAGACCACCGAAGATCAGTCATGAGGTCCCGTGAAATGGTAGTGACAGAAGTGGCAGAAGCTTTAGACAGTGTTTCTTGGCGGGAAGGTAACTTGGGTTGCACGGAGTCTTGACACTGAAATACCAATAATACTTTGCATAGCAGTAGTGGTGAGGGAAGAATTTTTTTTATAAAGCTCCCAACCACTACCCAAGCCTGACTCCTGTAAATGGTAGAAATGAAGGCAGATGAGAGTGAATGGCCCCAAGGTGAATATATACCAGTTCCACTTTGTGTTTGCTAATCCCATGTAACTCACTTTAGTTTCTTTTTACCTTTTTTAAAAATTTTTTTTAAAAACAAGCATTAAAGGGCCGGGCGCGGTGGCTCACGCCTGTAATCCTAGCACTCTGGGAGGCCGAGGCGAGCGCATTGTTTGAGCTCAGGAGTTCGAAACCAGCCTGAGCAAGAGCGAGACCCCGTCTCTACTAAAAATAGAAAGAAATTAATCGGACAACTAAAAATATATAGAAAAAACTAGCCGGGCATGGTGGCGCATGCCTGTAGTCCCAGCTACTCGGGAGGCTGAGGCAGGAGGATGGCTTGAGCCCAGGAGTTTGAGGTTGCTGTGAGCTAGGATGACGCCACGGCACTCTATCCTGGGCAACACAGTGAGACTTTGTCTCAAAAAAAAAAAAAAAAAACAAGCATTAAAGTGTGATTCAGTGCTCCTTCATATTCAAAGCAGCAGCCTCCGGGAGCCTGGGCCTTCTCTGGCCACTGTGCCTTCGGAAGTGAGGGTGCTGGAAGGCCTGGGGGTGAGGGTACAACTTCAGCCTGATGCTGTTTGTTGGAGGTATCTTCACAGTGTGTTGCAGTAGGATTCACTTGGCTTCCCATGCCTCCAACTCAGAGAAAGACAAAACCAATTTGATATTGTGTACGTACTTGTTAAGCTGTTTATTTGCGGTTCACACTAGTTATAACATTGGATTTACAGAAGAAATTGGTACAAAGAAAGTAAGGCTCCCATGGCTCCTGGGCAGCAGCAGTCCAGCTGCCCTGCACAGGCCGGGCATGATGACTGCTCCCAGAAGAGGGGAGGCGTCTCGCACCGACTATGCACAGCGGACTGCATGCAGTGGGGTGCCTGCTCTCCTGTGCTGTCTGGAAACACCTTGGAGATGGGGGGCTCTGGGATATTCTCTCACATATTATCTGGTTTAAAACACGAGCTTGACAGTTCCCCTTCAGGAGGTGTTTGATACGTTAGTACCGGGGCTAATGAAACCCACGCAGAAATTTTCAGGATGCTTTGTGACCAGATCTAATAATTGCCACACAAATAGATGCTAGGTGGGGGCTTGTTTAAACATGACTACATTTCCTGTTGCTTTTTGATAGATGTGTTATATTGTCATTTCAATTTGGAAGTTTATTTTTTCCATTGATTTTTACACATCAAGAATAACACAAATAACCGACAATTCTTTTTGCTTTTTGCACATTCATTTCCCCTAGAACAAAAAGTGAACTTTAAAAAAAAATTGGAACCATGCTATTAGCTGTTTACAAAAGTGAATAAGTAGCTTGTGTTTAAGTCTAAAATAAACAAAATAAAAAGAAGCATTTTTTTCTACAGTATGTAGCAAACATAAGGAAATGTCCTTAGAAACACACACAAAAAATTGAAAAAAGTTATTATAGGCATTAACAATATTTTATAATGAAGCTTAAAATCTATTTACATACATAAATACAATTAACTTTGTTGATGCAACTCTTCTGGAAGGAAGAAAACAGCCAAATGATCAGCCTCATCAATACTGACCTGGCTAAAAGGGAGGAAAAAGTTCCCAACAAACAAACAAAAAACCCCAAACAAATGTATATGCTAGGGTAAACAAAAAGGCATTTTGTTCAGATGTAAAAAAATGTTTTCTGAGATTACTGACAAACCAATTTTCATGTATAAAAGACCCCCAAACATGTCATTCCCCTCAGAAATAAAAACCACCAAAAATAAAAATCACCAGGACGGAATGTCCCAAGGAAACAGGTATTTCAAGACAGAAATCTGCAATCCTAAATTGCAGGACATTTGAGTGAAACCATTCATTTCCTTTCTAATCAGAGCATTTCTGTTTGTCTGCACAGAAACCCTAGGCAGCAGAAAGGCTGTCTATTTACTCACTGATTGTAATTTGCCCAGGAAGGTTTTTGCATTTGGACAGCGAGCAGATCCAAAATGGTTGGCAATGTCTTTGTTCTGCTGGAAGAAACCCATAAACCGGAGAAAGGCTGACTCACCATGTTCCTTTATGTAAAGGGAGAAGAACTGGATCTTCTTGTGTTGTGGACATTTGGTATTGGGGTGGGGGTGTGTGCTATCTCCTTAAGTGAATGTGAGAGAATGGAGAAGGGAGAAAGTGGGGTATGGAGGAGGGAGGGGGAGAGAGAAAGAGGGAGATACTGGGGGCCAGCGAGAGAGAAATGTATTTTCAGATATTGAGAAAGACAGAAAGAACTGAAATATGTGTCAGTGTTGAAATCATAAATAAAGGCATGAATAAGCAGTACAAATAGCTTATTCAATCTTTCTTCTCCTGAACCAGTGCTCCCAGATACATCCCATTATCACATTATTGGCTTAAAGGGTCTCACTAATACCTTAATTTACCTGAAGGCAATGAATAAAAAGACACCTTCATTCACCTGAAGGCAATGAATGCAATTCCTCAGGAAAAAAAAAAAAAAAGAGTTGAAACTTATCTCCAAAATAACTAAGGTTTGATTTTTTTTTTTCTGAAAAAATTAAATACTATATATGCTGGTAAGAGTTTGTGAAGCTCTGAATGACCAAACCAGTGAGTCCACAACAAAGTGACCATCCCTCTCCATACATAGCTTTAGGAGTGAAGGTTCAATGTGACAGATTATCTGATTCCCCTTGAGGGGGCGTTAGGCTGGTTTTGAGTTGGAATATCTTCAGGTACCAGAATTGAACTGAAAAACATAAGTGTTTTCCTTCATTTTCCCCCAGAATTTTCTCAGGTCAGGTATGGCAACGTGTGCTGAAAAGAACATTTGAGTTCATTTTGGGGGAAATGGGCTAATGGTCCTTTTCAGAAATTACATTTTTAAATTTTCTGACATTTGATGGTAATTTAGCTGCAAAAATGTAATATGGAATAACGTATGAAACTGAACTGTGGAGGGAGCTATGTCTCAAATGAAAATGAATATATTCTGAGTTTCTCCAAGATCTACTATAGCTCTTCTCTATATAAGAACGACCTGACAACACAAGCTGCTTTATTCTTTAACTCTTACCAAAGTGCTACTGCATCTGTGTAAAACAAATAATCAATATATATATAAGAAAACTAAAAAACAAGTTGTTTTAAATAAGTCCAGCTGTTTTGCTGCCTGCAGCCAAAGATTTGTCTAATTTGAATGCTTAAATTTATAAAATAAAAATCAAACACTGTTCTGAAGTCCTGCTTTCAAATACTCTTCAGAGTTGACCTGAAATCGTTTCAATTAATTTTAAGAGGTACATTAAATAACAACCAGATCATTTTGAGCACACATATGTCAAAATCAGCAGTTAGTATTTATGAGTTGTACAACAACTGCATTCTGACCAAATCCTCCAATAAAAATAGTGCCATAAAATTTACAGTGACATTGGATACCTTTGAATTGTAGCCATGGACAGCAGTGACACGAATCTTTCCTGTCATGCTGGTGCACAGGTGAAGGTGCACACACCCCACAGGGCAGGGTCTCAGCCTGGTGAAAGCAACACAAAGATGGTGGTGAGTGAGCAGCATGGGATGTGGGTTCTGCACAGGTGGGATGATGTTCTCCCACGTGACTCCACTGAGGCATACAGAGAGAATGGGCCCCTTCAGGCCTGCTTCTGGTGGGCCCCTAAATTCATTCATTTGGTTCCTATGTAAATGATACCCTTCCACACAGTTTACTTTGGATGTGTTCTGTTATAAAGTGTATGTGAAATTATCAGAAGGCCATGGAGTGAGCAAATCCCTAGGCAGAAATTAAATCCTCTCCAAAGGTGTAATCATTGGCACCTGCCTAAACCCTTTGGGACCAGATTTGAACTGCTCTGTTTGAAGGGAGGGAGCCAGATATGAGACTCTTTGTTGAGCCTGGCAGAAAATTCCACACTTTTGATCCTCGGAGTGACCCTCAGTGTCTAAAAAATCCTGTTAAAAACATTGCTGCATTAGCTACCAACTTGTTTAACATGAAAGGGAGTTTAATGTAAACAATACTTCTAGATAACCAAGTGATCACATTAACCATCCTTTTTTTCCAGCCTTCTTCAATGTGATACATTTAACTTTGGCTACTATCAAAAAACAAAACAAAATGTAGTACTTGATATTTTTCTCCTTAATATAAGTACATTTAAATAATTAAAAAAGTATCAACACATAAGTAAATGTCTGAACATCAAGATACATAAATATCTAGGGATTCCTTGTGGGAATACAGTAGTTAAAAATGACCCAAAGCTGTAGATGTTTCTCAAAAAAACAACTACACAAAAGTCCAAAAGAAAAGTTAAATAAAACTTACAGAAAAGGGAATCATATTTCTTTCAATTGTCAAAGCAAGAAAGAAGCAAGCTCAAATTTATATAGATATATAAAAATAAAAACCACCCAAATGCAAATATGCATTTTGCAATTTATAAGGTGCGGAAAAGAAAATTAAAAATAAGAATTAGATGCCAAACAGGATGAGTTGCATCCCCCCCAACTCAAATTCCACACTCTTTGGAATAAACAACTTGGTTAAAAAGTGAAGGGTATAAAATCTTTCTTTTATTCACAGCATTGCTAAATCAGAAGCATTCACAGTTTCCCTCTGGGAATCTTCCTGTTTGCTTTACAACGTGTCCACATGGTGGTGGTCTAGCGGACACCCTCAAGTTGTGTCAGGTTTGAAAATCTGTGACGGGCCAACAGCGATAGCGAACTGCATGGGCTTCGGAGGCGCAGGAGGCTGCCCGAGGCCGGGCCGGGAGCGAGAGCCGGGACAGGACGGCAGGCCCAGGGGGGCTTCTCCGTAACAGACGGCTCGGCCGAAGGAGGCTCTTCCACGACGTCAGGCGGCAGGGCGGCCGGCAGGAGGACGCCGCTGCCCAGCGAGGCCCCGCGCTGCCCCTCAGTAGGGCCGCCACACGGCCTCCTCGAGGCGCGCGGCGGGCGCCATGTTGGTGGGGGAGTTGCTGTGGCTGCCCTCGGCCTCCACCACGTCGCTCTGGTTCGGGAGGCTGGGGTTGAGCAGTGCCGAGCCAGTGGAGGCGTTGGTGCAGGGCGGCAGGATGCGCGGCGGCGAACGCTCGCCGCCCACCATGGAGAACTGGTAGGAGCCGGCTGAGGCGCCGTAGTACAGGTAGGGTGAGCTGGCCTGGAAGGGGCCGCCCTGCGCCTGCGACGAGCCGGGGTAAGGCGGCGGCAGGTACGTGTGGTAGCGCGTGGCCGAGCTCATGGCCGACATGCCGATGCCGATGCCGGAGGTGACGGGCGTCGGGGAGTAGGTGAAGGCGCCGGGGTAGTGCATGCGAGGGTCTGAGATGGAGGGCAGCGCGGGGAATTGGCGAGGGTCGCCGAAGGCCGTCAGGTCGGGCGCCGCTGCGGGGTGGGCGAGAAAAAAAATCCCGTCAGTAGGGAGTTTGGGAAGTGCGGTGCTTCCACCCCAGAATGCTCCTGCCCCTGGAGATGGGCGGCTATCCACAATGCTACTGCCCAAGAATATGTGGGCATACCACCAAGAATGCTTCCTTTTTAGAATGTGGGGGACTACCCAGAATGCTGCTGCCCTGTAAGACGCGGGTCTACCCAGAATGCTGCTGCCCGGAAGATGCGGGTCTACCCAGAATACTATCACCAGAAAAGATGGGGGACTACCCAGAATGCTCCTGCCCCGGAAGACGGAGGTCTACCCAGAATGCTGCTGCCCTGGAAGACGCGGGTCTACCCAGAATGCTGCTGCCCCGGAAGACGGGGCTCTACCCAGAATACTATCACCGGAAAAGATGGGGGACTACTACTCCCCAGTAGAAGGGCATGATACAGTACTGTAATATAAGACAGTAATATAAGATATCAGGTAATGTAATATGACATACAATATATGAAATGATATAGTATGTATGGTATAGATATATGCATGGTTATACTATAATACGTATGCTATAAATCAAATATTGATACAATCCCAGAGTTAGCAAACTGCAGCTTGCCAACCAAATCTGGCTGCCACCATTTTTTGTATGTCCCAGGAGTTAAGAATGAGTTTTAATTTTTTAAATGGTTGAAAAAAAATCCAAAGAATATTTTCTGATGTGAAAATTATAGAGAATTCAAATTTCAGTGTCTATACATAGAAACACAGACTCACTCATTATTTTATGTATTGCCTATGGCTGCTTTTGTGTTATCACTGTACAGTTGAGTGGTCATGACAGAGACCATAGGGCCCATAAAACCTAAAATATTTATTCTCTGGCCCTTTATAGAAAATAATTTGCTGACCCTCTATTTAATCAACATATTAATAATATACCAATAATATAATCTGTGATACTAACAATTTATTAATATATAATTACTAATGTAATGTTACCATTCATACAATATGTATAATATGATATATTGTATTCTAACAAAATATTTTTCACATAATATTAGGTTGAATCACAGAAAATTGCCATTTTTGTAGGCTTGAACAGTAGTTAAAAATGGTGGTAATTTCCTATTATTTACCCTAATGGATGGCATAGCAGTGACCATTGAGTGAATGTCAGTGAATATCATTACTACTCTTCTCTCTCCCCATATCTGCCATCAGACTAGTCACAGATTTTTAGAAACAATACAGATTCAGTTTCTGCTGGTATTCTCTAATATGTGCTTCACTGGTTTGTTAACACAAATGGACGTAGGGCCTTGATTTATCTACTCCATTTTTTGCACATGTTGAAATTTTACCAGGAGTGACAATGCTTTGCCTTCATTTTGTTATGATTGTGCATCATTTTGTTAGGGTTGTGCGTTTACAGTTTCATAAACTGGCTTGGGCTATCCTGTGGTTCACTGCCTCCTTCTGTGTTTTTCTTACCTACAGGCTGCCCTTGGGAACTACTAGAAAGTTTGGGTGCCAGGAAAGGTACCCTGTGTTCTGTAGATCAGAGTTTCACAACAGTGGCACTATTGACATTTTGGGCCAGATAATTATTTGTCGGGGCGGTAGGGGGACTGTCTTGTACATTGTAGGATGTTCGGCAGCACCTCTGGCCTTTACCCACTAGATGCCAGTAGCATCTCCCTTACCCCATTGTGACAACCAAAAAAAAAAAAAAAAAAAATGTCTCCAGATATTGCCAAATATTCTGAGGGTTGGGGTGAGGGGAGAAAAGTCACCCCTGTCTGAGAACCACCACAGTAAGATGTACGATGGTGTCCTGGGGTGGTTTTAGTTCCTCAGAATTATTCATTAAATGACCAGGCTAAGACTGTAATCTTTACATCAGCAAATCCAAAGATAGCAACAAACAGCAGAAGCATGAATTAAATGTTTTAAAATTTGAAGTTCTCAAATCAACATACAAAATAACTCTTAAGCTCAGATGGCATGTGGCCTGTGTCCTTTTGAGTTCTGGCCGAAAGAGAAACTTGACGGATCCAGAAGCTTGCTGTGAAAGGAAAGCTACCAGGGTGGATTAATCTGTTTTTGGAAGGCATCAGCAGTTGATCAACTTCCTCATATTTCAGGCCTATTATTCCAGCAGGGAGAGCTGCTAGTGTGGTGTTTTCTCTTTCTCTCTCTCTCTCTCTTTCATTCTCTTTCTCTTTACCCCCCTCTCCTGCCCTCCCTCTAATGGTCTTTTATTGCTCTGGCACATTTTGTAAAAATGAACTAACTCCTCTGTACATTTGGGGTGAATGTGATGAGGGGATATACTCCTCATCACAGAGGTAATTAAAGTTTATAGAAACAGCCGAAGTCTGTAGCAAATCCCTCCACTAATGAGGAAACCAGGAGTCTGACTTTCAAACAAACATTCCTGTTAATCTTTTCAAAGCGAGTCAGACATGTGGACAGGGAAAAAGTTGTAAACTGACAGTGGTTCTGGGGCTGCCCTTCCTTGGCCACTCTCTAGCTCACTCTCAAGCCAGGCCACACCTCATTCCACAGGGTTCATCCCTGCCCGCTTGCTGGAGCCATCTGTGAGCAAGCCCTGTGTCATTTGTTTTTGCTTACATGGAGAGCTGTGACATATTTGAGAGTTAACAGGAAGCTTTACTCCATTTTTCCAGTTACATTTATATGGTCTAGGGAGAAGCCAAGGTAGGAGGAAAAGCATTAGGCATATACAATCAATTTGTTGTCATCTGATGCAATCCTCTGGACACAAATAAATGACTCTGCCCATTATTCCTCTTGCTTCATTTGCCCTGAGACAAAAAGGTGAATCCACTGGAAAATGAATGAAAGGTCACCCTGTTTCACAGCAGTGTCTGGACATGCTCTGCCAGTCTGTTCCAACTACTACATGGTAATATGGTGATGGTACCAAGTTACTGGAATCCGGAGTGAGTCCATGATCTGTCATGGGCGTAAGTACTGGAATGATGTTATGGTCTTAGCTGTTGGGGGAAAATAGTTCTTCCACTTGTGGGCAGAACATTTGAAAGATCTGAAATATTGCCTGTCATTATTCTCTCTACACATGAACAACATCATACTAAAAAAGATCATCCATTTGGTCAAATTATCTTTTTTTTATATATACATTTTGATAATAAAACAACTTAGGCCCTCTAGATATGCTCAGATTCAAATTATCTATTCAAATATTGGTTTTCATTTTAATGTCTTGTCTGACATCCCTTATTAAGACCCATCAGTCATGGACAATTCACCCATCTGGCCAGAGAGTATCTATCCTTTTGGCTGGCCTGGTGCCCCCTTATTCAGTAGCAGTGTGGGCAGAGGTGGGGACCCTTGATATTCACAGGGAGTTTTTTAAGAGTAGGAAATCTGGGGATTAGGAGGTTCAGGTATTTTGCTTGGAAATGTTTCCCCATTGATGGGGCTAAATATTTGCTATGACAGCTCAAGTCTTCACTTTGCAGCTTGACGTGAATGAAAATAGCCCCACTCCAGGGCCCCTCCCACTGCCCCCAAAGGATTAAACAACCTGAGCAGATAATGGCTGCCTTAAAAGGATCTTTTGCATGACTCAGATTAATGCATGCTGTCTGTCGCCCAGTTTGGCAGCTAAACATTAATTTTTTTAAAAAAGGAAAAAAAAAAGAAGAAAAGTAAACCTCCAGATGACAACTCTTTTCAGACAAGGTGTGGAGTCTGTCTGCAAAGGATAGAGTGAGAGAGACACAGAGTCCAAGTCCCCAGTGCAGAAGGAAGCCCAGGTGGGGCTGGGGGCGGGGAGAGGGGCAGCACACAGAGCTGTCGGCAGGCGGGATTAAAAGGTAAAGCACCCACAGAGCAGTGTCAGGTTCTCAAAGCTGTCGGCCAGGCAGCCACTTTCCTTTTATGTATCCCAACCCCCTCCTGCCCCCAGGTTTATGACAACACTTTGCAGGCCTGTGCTCCAGGCTTGATTTCTCAGAGGGAGTTCTGCCAAGTTGAAGAGCAGTCTCCCATGCTGTTCTCTGCCACTGGTGAAAGCTCATCTGGAATTCTCAGAGGATCATTCTTGGGTGCTGAAATGGGACATGGTTTTTATCTACTTCACACTCCCATACCATAAAATGTCCTTCCTTACTCCTTAGGTGATTGAAGTCCAGGCTATTCAGAAGTGTAACTGTGATATGGGATTTTGGAGTACACATGTTACTCATTCCTTTTTAAAAAGTCACCCTTAATCTGAACACTGGTCAGCTGGAGGAGCTGTCCCCTGCAGTTCTTGGACTACAAGGTGCCGATTTTGGGTGGTGACCAAGTCAAAAGACTTATGTAATAAATTCCAAGGGATAGACCTACTGCAGGGACATTTCCAAGGAGCACAGTAATTGTTTCAGATGTAGACCACAGCAAGTGGGCAGAGCAGTGTCGCTAAGAAGAATCAGTAAAAGCTGGCAAGTGCCTTTGGATTCAAACTCTCTTCCTGAGGGACAGGCTTCTAGAAACCACAAGCTCAAGTGATGCCATAATACCTGTGCTACTCTCTCAACTCCTTAACTAGGAGGTACCATGAAAATGTTGGCATTAATGTTCAAAAATAACGTGAAGACTGAACACCTAGGTTGGCTTTCCTATTTTACTATAGCACCCAAGAATACTGGAAGGCAGTGGTTCTCAACTGGGGGCAGTTTTGCCCCTTGGGGACGTCTGGCAATGTCCAGAGACAATTTTGATTGTCACAATGGGGGGAAGGGGAGAGTGCTACTGGTATCTAGAGGCCAGGATACTGCTAAATATTCTACAATGCACAGGACAGACTCCCACAACAAAGAATTATTGGGCCCAAAATGTCAATAGTGAGTAGCTCTGGGAAGGCATTCTGTAAAGCTCTAAGAAGCAGCGAAGGCATCTGGTGAAACCTCAAGTAATCACAATTGTCTGGAAAAAACAACATTATACAACATTTAAAAATGGCAGACATGACTTCTTTGCCCCTTTGACTGCCCCCTAATCTGCTATAATCTGATCCCAAGAGCTGAAAAGCAAAACCCATCTCCCTTCCCCCCACACACATGCAAGTGTGTTTGCAGGCATGTAATGCTGGAGTTCTCTGAAGTATTTTCACAGTTTGGGCCAGCTCCAATTTCAAAGCCTCAAACAGTAAGTTTCTTCTTCTGCCTTCAACAAAGGAATTTTTCTCTGTAACTCCAATTTCCTTGCCCATGAGCAAAGGTGAGTGCCAAGCCCAAAAGGCTCATAGGTTAAATGACTAATATTTAATGAGCTCGTATTAACAACAATTATGCTAACCATGACACCTGAGCTTTTGACACTGTTCCTCTAACCTCAGTATGAACAGCTCTTAGTTGGAAATTCGGGGTATGTGGTTGGCCCTCTGTATTCATGGATTCAGAAACTGTGGATCGATAATATTTTTTTTAAAAAAAGGATGGTTGTATTTGTCCTAAACATGTACAGACTTTTTTCTTGTCATTATTCCCTAAACAATACAGTATAACAAGTATTTACATAGCATTTTACACCATATTAGGTATTACAAGTAATCTAGAGATGATTTAAAGTATACGGGAGAATGTGCTGATGTGATATACAAATATACCATTTTATATGAGGGACTTGAGCATCAGTGGGTTTTGGTATCTGTGGGGGATCCTGGAACCAATCCTCCATGGATACCAAGGGACAACTGTATTGGCTTCCCATTCCACACATACCCCAGTGTGCTGTTTACGAGATCTGTGGAAACTCATCACCACCAGAAGGACCAGTCACGTCAGTCCAGAAGTCAGTTGAAATAATGAGTCCTAGAAGCTGACTACTGCGGCTTTTATATTATTAACCCTTCAGCTACCACCCTTTCCTGCCAAATGTGAGCAACCCCCAAATGCCCAAGGAATCAACTTCTCCAAGCCACTTCTGCCTCCACATCCATAATCTCTGCCTCTGAATGTCAAAAAAAAAAAAAAAAAAAAAATCAATGCATGGGCATGTGATGTAGAGATAGGTAGCCTGTCTTTAAACCATGGTTTATTCAATTAATAATGTTCTGTCAATTCCTTCATGTATCCCCTCTAGTCTCCTGAACCTTTCACTTCAGTTCAGCTGCAAAGAATGTGTTTTCAAGTGGCTTACTTGAGAGTCGACTGGAAAGTTCTGCAGAGAGGGTTGTCATGCCACTGGCTCGTCCAGGTGAGATGGGTGTTGCTGGGTGCACGGAAGGAGAGGCGATTGATCCCAGGTACTGGTAGGACTGATCGTAGGACCATGGTGGGGACGGCTGGATCTGCCTTGTATCTGCAGAGAATCAGGAAGGTAAATTATATGTACGATAGGTTGGGATTTAAAAAATAAAAAGTCTTTTAATAAGAAATTAGTAACCTTTGTTAAAATATGTTATACATGTAGGTAGCCTATTGACCAGTGTTTAATAAGCCTACTCAACTCTAAATATCTGTCTTTGTTGGATGGTTTCTCCCCCAAAGATACTGAAATATTGTTTATGTTTGATTCTTGGAGATTTTCATCTGATAACTATTTCTTCCAAAGATTTTATTTAATCATACTAATGTTGAGAGGCATGGATTACGCTTTCATGGTAGAAGTATTAATGTTCAAATTGTTAAACTGTATAGTATTTGATGATGCCAAGTATAATACGACTGCTCAGACTATTTCGGCTTTAGTAATAATTATAGTTATCATCAGAAACATTTTATAAACTCAAGTGATCACCTGTCTATCTGTATTCAGTAAGCAGAAAGAATGTAGAGTTTTGGGATTTTTTTTTTTTTTTTGTACCTTTGGCAAAAATATTCCTTGGGCTTGTAAATGTTTCTATTTAGGTGAATTCTCCCCCAAGGATGAGGGAAAGAAGGTCTGGTTGGGAAACTGGTGATGAGATCTAACAACTTGTTCAGAAACCCAGCAGTAGAGCTGGCTCTATCAACCCAGGCCTCCTGCTCCTTTTCAAAACTTCAAGTTTGCAACTTCTAAAGGGCAGATTTTTGAGCAAGTATTTTATAGATTGCCATTTTAAGAGGCCTCGGATGGAGAGGACAAAAATCTGACTTCAAAAGATGTAGACAGAATGAATTTTGTGCATTTGATTCCAGCATTCAGAGGAGTCTTAGTTTTCAAAAGCGTCATAATGTTTGCAGATGAAAAAGAAGCCGGCAAACCACCTCTAAGGCAAAATGTATGAGCAAATTTGAATTGGACACTGTCCCACTACCAGACTGTTTTACACTTCTTTAGAGTTAAATATTAATTTTTTCTTTGTGTCCCACCTTCTCTGTGGACAAAGATAACAGCAAACTACCATAACTACTAAGGGTCTTCATAGCCAGAGCTTCCATGATCCTGGGAATAACAATCTAGGAAAAGCAGGTTTCTTTAGAAAAGTACCGGGTATAAGTATTGTATAGGCCATGACATAAAGAAATGAGCCATTCCTACTCATTATAAAATATTCACGTCTGCTCTCTTCAGGGGCTTTTTATTTCCAGCAGTTAAAGTTTGCCTTTTCTGTTTATCTCTTTGAAATTGCTATAGTGGACAACAGAATCAGACATTTGGAGACCCCAGTCTTCCTCCCTAGTCTTCTTCTAACAGCCTGCCCAACTCATACTCATACTAACCCATTTCTTTTTCTTTTTTTTTTTTGCTTGAAAATAACTGAATTCTTAAGTTTGAAAAACCTGACACCTTCGAGGCAAATATTTTAACTTGGGGTCTTTGAAATCTAATATTAAAAAAGTCTTCATTTCATTCCAAATTTTAGAAAATTTAAAGAGATGGCAACGAGTAAGAGAGCCGGTCCATTTTAAACTCAAAAGGGTTAAAATACATTCAACTTCAAGCTGAAGATCCTGAATAATCTTACAACTGACAGTGTTTTCAATGACTGAAGGGAAACAGAAATATCAGACTGTTCAGTATTCCCTTGCTACTTCAAGTATTTTGCTTGAAGTGAAAAAAAAAATCATATACTTAGTTTCTATAAGACATGTTTATGTCCTAGATACACACATTTAACTAAGTGAATGTATAGTACTCAAATATTTTAACCATTTAAAAAGCAAACAAAAAAGGTTTTATAATTGTCATAAACCCTCCGGGCTGTGAATTGTGGTGTAGTAATTCATGCCCTGTTGTGTAGACAGCCTAGCACCCCTAACCCCATGTCTAAAACCACACTAAGCATAAAGTATTATGCCATGATTCATGCTCTGTCATGTTTTACTGCAGGGAAAAAGTTGTGCTAGGCTTTTCTAAACTCATAATTAAACCATGCAAACGTTGCATAATATTTCACAGCCTTTTAAAAATATGCTTTGGTAAAATGATCTTTATGATTAAAGTCCAAGTTCTATGAGTTTTTTTTTTAAACACAGGGTTGTAGATTCAAATCTTCTTATTTCACACCATAACTTAGCTTTCCAGGTGCTGGAGTGGGGTGCAGGTTGGGGGTGGGGATGGCACCAAAAATCCGGAAGCCCACCCACCCCCTTGTCAGTTTTCAGTCATGTGACCACGGTGATCTGTGCTTGGGTTCATAGCCAGTGGTGGGCCAGAAGGTGGTGATGGCGAGCCTCTCGTGTTGGGTTTTTGGATGTTTTCTCCTTCTACGTGTATTATTATTAGTAAAAAATAAAACCAAAAAAGGCCCAGTAATGATGCATTCTGGGTTTAATATTCAGTTACCATCTTTGCTCTGATGGGGCCAGCATGAAAGCACGAAGGCAAGTCTAGAGTGGCAGTGCTGTGGGCCGCTCTGTGGGCTGATAGGCAGGAGAGGTGGGCCTGAGCCTGTCTGTGTGGGGAGCTGCTAGGTGACCCTTTCTTATTTTCATCTCTGAAAGGTGATGATCTCTAAATCTGTTCCAATGACGACAGGACAGGATTCTATAATAATTCAAATAGGTCCTACCCAATATTTCTTTGCCTACCCTGTATGTTACTTGTATGTTAAGCAGAGTCAGGGAAGAGTCAGGTGTGGGGTATGGCGTGAAGAATGGTGCTTGTAATAATAAATACGTGTATTCGGGGAAGAGGAAGTAGGGAGGGATGAGGGGAGTTATCCAGAAAAGACCACAGGCTAAGGAAGAGAGCCACTGTCAGTCATTCTCCAGAGCATAGGGCCATTTGTTCTGGAAGGAATTGCCTCTGATAAGTCAATGCATCAAAAAGAACAAAAGTTTATTGGAACATTTACTATGTGCCAGGCATGTACTATGTCCCTGGTAACAAAGGGATGAATAACAGCAGTATGGTCCCTGCCCTATTGGAACTTATAGTCAGTAAAGATCTCAGGACTGTGTGATGCTTAGAAAGGCTTCTTCCTGTTGCATAAATTATCATACTGAGTGTTGCTTCATTCATAGATTTATTCACTCATAGGTTCATGAAGTTATTTGCTTGTTCATTCAATCATTTTTCCCAACAAATATTTTTGCTTTATTAGGGCCACATATAAATATGTGAATATTTATTAGTATAAGCACTACTCACTAGTGAATGGAAGATTTCTGCCTTCTGGGAGTTACAGTTACTGGGGGATCTAGGGCTGTATCCAGGCTAACTGCTATATTAGCTGCCTAATTTGGACTTGCCAACAACTGTCCCCAACGTAGAAACAAGAGCCCTAGTGGTATTTATTACATGCTTATGTTCTGCCTCCGAGAGGCTCAGACTAGGGGAAAGCACCAAACTTAAGTCACAGACAGATTTCAGTTTGCATCTTGCTTTCACCACAAAGTGTATAACCTTATTATTAAAGTCACTTTATTTTCTCTGATCCATAGTTTTCTGACTTCAAAAGGTAATAGTGAGGAGTAAGTGATATAAGCTATATGTAAAGCAAGTATCACAATTTCTGGCTATAGTAAATGCTCAATAAGTGTGAGTAATTTTTATAATTATGTTACTAAAAAGGAAAAGAAATCCATGCCAAAGGACTCATCTGATGTTTATTGGTAAGACCACACATACCTGCTCCAGGATGAGGCTTAGGTAATATTTTATTCACAGCTAAAGGCTTGACAGCCACACTCTTCAGACTAGAGAGGAGCTAGGCTCAGGAAATTAAGTGGTAAAGGGGAAAAGAAAATGGAAGTTTGGGATGAGGATGGAGAAGGCAAGAATTCAATATCTCAGCAAATTCATATTTCCATTAAAGAACGCATTGGATTAGAAAGTTTAAATTTGAGCCTTTCTTCCTATTTTTTCCAGGGTAAATGATGTTTTGGTACAGCCACTTTATCAAGGCCATTTTGTGATGGGTTATTTTCAACTTTTGGATCATCAAATAATGGGTGAAACAGAGCCCCCTTTCTACATTCCTGAGCCCCATTCCCTTCCATTTGAAATGGGAAGTTAGGGATAAGGTGAAGTTGATGTTAGCGGTGAGCTCAGATGTATACATGGCATATATCACTTGATAAGAAAGTAGAGTGCTTTTATCTTTTGATATAGCAATATTAAAATGTCTCCAGAGTAAACAGTGACCCTATTAAATAATTCATGTCAAAATGCCCTGCTGCTTCCCGTTTCAACTCCAAAATCTAAAGAGCTTGGGAGTCATCACTAGTCTTTTTACAACAACAACAAAAAGCTGAAGAAACTGAAATAATCCATGACTTTTCTTGGGTCCACAAGAGAATTGAAGTTACAGGGCAATATGCCACCCCCAGATCTTGAGAGGCAGGCAAATACAGACAATCACAGTGAGGTCTGCTTCCTGGGGGCAGAAGCTGCTGAATCCATAAACTGAGGGGAACACTTAATGGTGATTTTGTCAAATTGCTGGAGCCTGAGTATAGACTAGTGCGAGAGTAAGAATCTCCTTGGGGCTATAGTCTTGGTGGGGAGGGGCACTTTAGTGGGTTTTTCATTCAGGAAATCCACCAGATTCTCATGGGATCTAATATAATAACAGTGGGTTACAGCTGAAACAGCTTCAAGGCATAGACTATTTAAGGAGGAGTTTGTAGAGAAGCTCAAACAAAAACAAAGACACTAGAGGAATTTGAAGTCTCTAGCACCTACGGCAAGCATTAAACACAGCCCAACTCCTAGCTAGATGAACATAATAACTCACACCAAAGGCTTGTTTGCTTTAGTTCCTATTACCTAACATATGCTTTCAACAAAAAATTACAAGAGAAAAGCAAGCAAAAACACAGTCTGAAGAGATAAAGCAAGCATCAGAACCAGACTCAGATGTGACACAAATTTTGGAATTACCAGACAGGGAATTTAATTATGAATAATATGTTAAGGGCTCTAGAGGAAAA